GTCCATTTTTAAAATATCCACAGAACAGAATCCCCTCAGAATTTGATGTCAGTGTCCTCTGAAAACAACCTAGCCATATATTTTATTAAGAGTTAATTCTCTAACAATTCCACTTCTGGGAATCTGTCCTATAACAGCAGTTCTACACAAGGAAAAGTCTATAATCATCAAGCTATCACCTTGAAAACTACATATAACTGGAAAAATTGGAAGTAACTTATGTGTAAGAGTAACGTTTGTGTAAAATGTGCCACACAATCCAGCTGGGCACTTATATGCAATCATAAAAAAAGCAAGAATACTGATAAAGTACTGTGAAAGCATTCTGTGGCAAAATGATTAAAGCATTGTGTGTTTGTGTGCATTTAAAATGTATAGAAGTAGTCCTACCAGAAGAACTAGATGGTGCCCAGCTATCACTGTCAACCACTTGGAGGGGGATTGGTGCTGGAGATCCTGGATAGAGTGGGAGAACAATGTGGAACAAAGCTTAAAATCTTTAAAAAAAAAAAAAAAACCAGGTTTGCTGGTCTGATAGAGCCTGGTGAGACCCCTAAGATTATGGCCCCTAGCTGCCCTTCAGGCCTGGAATTGAACTCACTCCTGTGGCTTCTAAATAGATAATAGATAGGCATATAGACTGAATGTTTACATCAGGTAGATACACTATTTGGAGAAATCAATCATGGGAGAATAGAAGGGCAGTGTATACACAGGGAGATAGCCTGGGGGGTGGGAGTGCATGGGAGGAAAGGACAGAGAAGAGGTAACTACTGGGAGGAAGTGGGAAGAGAGCTGTTAATTGTGGGGAATTGCAGTCAATGTCATGAGACAAAATGTATATGAACTGACATATGGAAAATGAATTTGCTCTGTCAACTTTCACCTAAATCACAATTAAAATTTTTTTTTAAATGTATAGAGGTGGTCCTAGATAATTCTTATGAAATTCTGACTTGCCTGGCTTTTCTGACATAGCTGTGAAGTTAGCAGACACATAGGCACCTATTTGCACAAGTTGACTTGCAGGAGTGTTTTTTATTACTTTGTGTTTTGAAACAAAGGAGTCAAAAGATAAGTAGTGCATGGGTTCCTGAGGATGGAGGACACAAAGGATATGGAGGAAATATGGTGATTAATATGAGCTACTTGAACTGATTTCAAGCTCATGTCAAGCTCATCACAGGAAGATGATTATAGCCTTTTCCATGTTTGTAAGGAGCTCTGGCAGTGTAGTGGTTAAGGCATTTGGCTACTAACCAAAAGATTTGTAGTTCAAACCCACCAGCCACTCTGTGGAAGAAAGATGAGGTGGTCTGCTTCCATAATGGTTTACAGCCTTGGAAATCCAATGGCGTTCTCTGTAAGTTGAAATCGATTCAACAGCAGTGAGTTTGGTTTTTGGTATATAGTTTCTAGGCAAAAACTGTATTGTACCATGTACCATACAGTTCATCGTATTTATCACAACTATAAATTACTATGTGTAATTATTCACTTAATGTGAGTCTCTCTAGTCTACAAGTCCTTTAGGGAAGAGCTGGTCTTTATTTTGTGGACTTCCTGGCACACTATCATAAGCACTGAGGGAAGGAAGTTGAGAGAAGGAAAGTAAGGGGAAAAGAGAAAAAGAGAAAGAGGGAAAGGGAAAGGGAAAGAGAGAGGAAGTAAAATTTTTTAATAAGGCCTCTAAGGTCTACATGACAGGTCAAAGTGAAGCTGGGATAGCAGTCTATCCTCATTTCCACTTGTAAGTGAAATCAATGGGAAGGCATGAATGACTAGCAAAAGGCTTACTGCATCTTTGGGATGAATCATGAGATGGCACCCTAGCCAGGGCAGGATTCTCCCACGAGCAGCAATGGGGCACATTTGCAGAGTGTTGGTGAGGCTGGGCAGAGAGCAGTAACATACTCAGGCATCAACATGTTTCTATATTCTGACTCATCTGAGGCCTGGGCATACCCAGAAATAACCAAGGAGGGGACTGGAGAAATACCCCAATTATGCCCATAAGGGATAATTGTAGGTGGGGATACAGAACCAGTTATAAAATTCATCCCACTGCCATCAAGTTGCTTCTGAACTGCCCCATAAAGTTTCCAAGGCTATAAGCAGACTGCCTCATCTTTCTCCTGTGGAGCAGCTGGTAGGTTCAAACCGCCAACATTTTGGTTAGCAGCTGAGTGCTTTAACTACTGTGCCATCAGAACTCTATGAGCCAGTAACACAGAGATGTTAATGCTAATGTGACCTGTTTGTAGCCTCAACATGGTTATTCTTAAGGACATCTACAACTAGAAATCCAAGAGAGAGATCAAAATGGTAATGGATTTAATTGTTGTGACAATTTTTTCCTTCTAAGTTCATAATTACTTTAATAATAATAACAATAATAATAAAACACATAACAGAAAAAAGTATGTTCCATTTGAAAAATTGCTATTTTATCAGATGACAATAATTTTGTAGTTTGTTTCCACGTTTTCCCTAGTTCAACAGAAACTCAAAGCCAAATTTAGTGCTCAAGCACAGAAATTATATTAATGTTGTAGTCGGCATAGCTGTCTGCTGGTCATTCTACAAGCCCAAAGGCCACATGAAATAATCCTCCACAAAGCCTTTTCTTACAATTTTGTTTATCCCCATTGACATGTGAATCTCTACACGATTTAGTCTTTTAAGACATACTGCCCTATAGTACTCACATTGCATTATGTGAAGTAATTACTCAATTAGACCAGTGGCTCTTAGTGAAGAGTAGGAAGACAAGAGAAAGGATTAGAGGAGGAAAGGATGGCCTGTTGTATCAGAACTATCTGCCTGTCCTTTTCTAAATTACAAACCTGCACCCACCCAAACCATAAGAATCACTGCCATTACAAGGGATGTTAACTGCTGGGAGTTGTTAAATATTCAGGGTGAGTTAGGAGGAAAAGAGATTTAATCAGTGAATAATTGTAAGGTTGTTGAAAATTGTATTTTAACTAAAAGGTGAATTTTAGAATCAGAAGCACTGATTTCAATCCTGGATCTAACATACACTTCAAATGGAGATTAAAGTAACTTGATTCAATGCATGAATTCTAAATGCATGCTAAGTGCTACTGTATAGAGCTTTAAAACCAAACCAGACCAGTTGCTGCTGAGTTGATTCTGTGTGTTACAGAATAGAACTGAGCTCCATAGGGTTTTCTTGGTTATAATCTTTACAGCAGTAGATTGCCAGGTCTTTCTTCCATAGTATTGCTAGGTGGATTTGAACTGCCAACTTTTCAGCTGATAGCCAGAAAACTATTTGTGCCACCTAGGGACCTAGCTCCTTACACATAGCATAGCATATAGCAAATGCTCAATAAATGAATGCCCTTTAGGCCTATTTTTCAAGTAGACTTGTGAGTTCTTTTAGTTTGGGTTTTTTTTTCAACTTTAACGGTTTGACCTTTGGGGCTGGATAATTCTTTGTCCTGTGCATCGTAGTATACTTAGTAACATCCCTTGTCTCTACCCATTACCAGTAGAACTGCCTCCCCTCAAGTTGTGGCAGCCAAAAATGTCTTCACACATTGCCAAATGTCCCCTTGCAAATTACTTTTGCAACAATTGAAGTAGTGATTACTTCCAGTTTAATTTATAGCAGACTGTGTACTTTTTAATGAAACAAGCAGTTTCATTTTAGAATAATTTCTGGCAACGCAGTGACACAAATATCACATCAACATTAAATTCTACTTTGATATTGCTCACTTAACTCACATCAGATCCTCTGATGGATTCAGAGTTGTGAGTTGTGCTGCTTTTAGTTTCCTTAATGCATCACTCATGATTTTCAGTAGATGAAATGACTATAACAAATTCTAATGTAACCATTTAAAACTCAGGGAGCTCTTAAAGAAAACAAATGGCCATTTAAGTGTGAAAACACTGAACCTTCAGCTACAATGAAGATCCACGGTATCTGCATATCCCAAAAACGAAAAGCCAACCAAGGTCAATGGAGAGACTCTTTGGAAATGGAAAGTCACAAATGTATGTGACACATTCATATATTTGTTCTCTTAACACTGTCGGCATTTGCTGTCATGTTATTTGAAAGCTGATGTGTTTGGGTTGGGGGCAGGGAAGCAGGCTCTGAAATGCAAGAGAAGCACTACGAACTCTAGAAGGAAATGGGGAGGATATTTTGTACATAGTTAACAATTTCTGATCAACCTCTTCCAATGATATGTTGCTTATATTCAACCATTCACAGGATATTGTTTCAAAGACATTATTTTAAAGTGATAGTCTATTCATTTTTTAAAAAGCCATTTATTTCATACTTTGTGTTTAATAGCTAGAGTTCAAAGTTTTAAAACATTCTATTTACCAAGTGGAAAAAACCTAATAGTAATAAATTCCGAGTACCATTTCAAAAGACTATGCCCAGTGTTTCAAAGTTATTGTTTTGTGATTTGTTTAAATTAAAATGTTGACACCCTACTCCAAGTAATATGTAAACACATGTCTAACCATCTACTACATTAAACTTGGGCTACAACATTGGTGCTTATATACACCAAAAGTTAGAATTATGACATCCACCCTTTCCAAAAATAACAGAATTGCTTAACTCTTCAATTCCTCCTCTGGTAGAGAGGCTGAAACAATCCTTTTCTGAATATGGCTTTTCCATGGAAGTGAAGAACATTCTTAAAGACATTCTGAAATTGAAAAACAAGCAAAACAATATAAAACCCCTTTGAAAAGAGACCATCTAATTTGCAAAGCTGATGAATATGTTGGTGTGAATATTTTCAGGGAGAAATATTTTAGAGGTAGGATATAACTGATAAAGGGAAGATATTTTGTGGGGAAAAAAAAAGTAGTTCTGGAAAGGTAACAAAGAATGATAGTATTTGGAATTTAACATCTTGTAGGCATTTAAAAATATGAAATCATTATGGCATCAGAAAGTACCATATTTCAATCACTGCACTGGAAGCCGGCAAAAGCCCATGCTAATTCCTGTTATGCTTATTTCTTGGTTCAATCTCGGTACTTTCAGCTGCTCTTTTGCGGCAAATCTGTGGACTTATTTCTATGTCCTGAAGATCACTTCTGAAACCAGAAAAAAAGAAATGGCATCTTAGAAAACAATGATCATTACTCTACAGTAGCTTCTAGTTTAAAAGTGCATTCATGGGCATTATTCCATTTAAATCTCAAAATAACTCCCTGCTCTATCGACAAATATATTATTATTATCTCAGCTTCACAAATGAGAAAACAATGAATTAGCAAATATGATCATTAGTAAGTGATAGAACCAGAACTTGATTTTTTTATTCTGAATCAAATTCTAGCACAGTTTTATACTTCAGCTTAGCATGCACAAAACTATAAAACAAAACATAGCTGTCATCCTGGGGAAAAAAAGAAAAAAAAAGATTTTACCCTACATGCAAGCTGCTAAAGAGTCTAGCCTGCCACAGCTTCATGAATACTGGCAGAAGACACAGGTCTCTTGGGTAGAGGGGAAGGACAGTTTATTATTCATAGCCATAACTGTAGCTAGGACCATTGTACATTGATGTGGGGATGAAAATGGTACAGTGGCTGTGGAAAACAGTATGGCAGTTCCTTAAAATGTTAAACAGAGAATTACCGTATGACCCAGCCAATTCTACTCATAGCTATATACCCAGAAGAATTGAAAGCACGAATCAAACAGACACATATACACCAATATTCATTACAGCATGATTGACTATAGTTAAAATGTACAAACAACCCAAATTCCATCAACAGATGAATGGATTAACAATATGTGGTATATACATACAATGCAGTACTTGTTACTCAGCTAGAAAGAGAAATGAAGTTCTGATACATGCCACCACATGGATGAACTTTGAAAACATGTTAATGGAAATAAGCCAGACACGAAAGGCCAAATATTGTATGATCCCACTAATAAAATATCTAGAATAGGTGAGTTCATTGAGATAAAACATCAGTGGTTACCAGGGTAAGTCCACAGGTCCACTCTGCCTTTTGCCTGCTTGGCTGTCCTCCCACAACAAACTATAAAAAGCATGAAGTTAAGGCCACTCACAATAATTCCTTAATGGACTTTTCTCATTGAAAAGCTCCTAGGTGGTTTCCTCTTCCATGTTTTTTCTCACCGTACTCTAATTTTCAAGTGTTCTCCTGCCCTTTTTATTATTATTTTTTTTTCCCCCATGTATTTTAGGGCTCTGCTGTTAGGTGCATCTCTATTTATAATTTTTATATCTTCTTGATGGAGTTACTCTTTTATCATTATAAAATGTTCCTCTTTTTCACTATAATAATTCTTGTCTTAAACTCAGTTTTGTTTGGTATCAGTATAGCTATGTTAGCTCTGTTTTAGTTAGTTGTGTATGGTATATCTTTTTACATTGCTTTCACTTCCAACTCATTTATGTCTTTGAATCTAAAGTGTGCCTGCTGTAAACAGCAAATATTGGACCATGTATCTTATCCATTTTGCCAATCTGTGCCTTTTAATTGGAGTGTTTACTCCATTTATAATTAATGTAATCACTGATTAAGTTAGAACTTACATGTGCCATTTGCTATTTGTTTGCTTATGCTTATGTCTTATGATTTTTTGTGTTCCTTTATTCCTTCATTCCTGCTTTCTTTTGTGTTAAATGGGTATTTTCTAGTATACCATTTTAATTCCTTGTCTTTTCTTTTATTATATTTTTAAAGTTTATTTTCTTAGTGGTTGCCCTGGGGATTACATTTAATATATGTTGTTGTTGTTGTTATGTGCCGTCGAGTCAAACCTGACTCATAGC